GTGACGGTGCCTATTGCGATATACTTACATAGGGAGCATTCCCAGTGACGGTGCCTATTGCGATATACTTACATAGGGAGCATTCCCAGTGACGGTGCCTATTGCGATGTACTTACATAGGGAGCATTCCCAGTGACGGTGCCTATTGCGATGTACTTACATAGGGAGCATTTCCAGTGACGGTGCCTATTGCGATGTACTTACATAGGGAGCATTCCCAGTGACGGTGCCTATTGCGATGTACTTACATAGGGAGCATTCCCCGTGACAGTGCCTATTGCGATGTAATCAGCCGTGTCAGTGATGGTTTTGTTACATACCAGTGTGACGATGGTGACTCTGTAAAAGTGAGGGATTGATTACCACAAATGGTGAGATTATCAGTTATTCCTCTATGTAACGTCACACACATTCGAACATCCGCACACCTCTAAGGACTATCACTGATGACAGTGTCCAAATATTCTAAGCTAGGTGCCTTATTTGCACATGTTGACTTATTGAAAATGCGTCATTATAAGTTGTGTGGATGTCATAATTTTCTTTTATTCGTTAGACTCTGTGTACACGTCACCGATTCATGTGATGATGTCAGAACTTACTGTTCTTGGCCTGTAGTGTTCTGTGTATACGTCACAATGAGTTCATTAGAGGCAGGGTCAACATTCCAAAGAGAACCATCCTGCTTTCCAATAGGGATGTTTTGGTTTTGAAGGTTTTGGCACGCCTGTGAATATACATGAAATGTAACAGCATTTTACGTGAAAATGGGGTCGGTGGAGTGTACCAACGCAAAAGGGAATTGCCCCTAAGTCGGAAAATCAAGCGAGGTGTGGGAGGAGAGAGAGACCAGGATAATCAAAGACAAGCAGGTGCAATGCGATAGCGAATAAAAAAAATGAACAAAATATATTATAAAATGTATAAATAATATTCTTTTCTGGTTGTTTTCTCTTAAGTGTTGCAGTTTCTTTTTGCACAATAGTACGTTATCAGACACCTCGTTATTTCGCGAGAACTTATAATCGTCGCTGAACTACGAAGACGTGGGGCCTAATTATTCGAGAACGACGTGAGTAGGATATGCGTTTTGAAACGAGGCTGGTTTCAACCGATATTTGACATAATATGATAGCAAATCATAACAGTTTGTGCTTTTGGGTTTAAAATACGAATATATAAATATAAACAAAACTGTCGTGAGTTTTCTATCATAGTAGTCCTCTTTGGAGAGAGATCGTAAGTAAAAGAAATGCATTATAAATTTAGATTTAAATTATTTTAAATATATATATTACCAGTGTATCTAAGTTTTGTCTCACACACTTAAAATACGTAAGGTGATATTGAGAGTATTTACCGCCACATTTTCACACGCTCCGTCTGTAAAAGGGTAGCACGGGTTGTACGAGTACTTCACACTGTTAGGATCCAAGCCTGAGAATCTGCACAAAAATATTTTAAAAAGTTGTGTGAGGTTAACAAGCGAGAATACATGTATTACCGCCCTCTTCTTACAAGACCATACTCCTAACCATAGTTACAGCAAGGAGTTATAACAGAAGGATACAGTCAGTGGTTGATGATGTCGAGAAGGTTAGGTCAAGGTCGAAAAGGTCAGCTCATGGTGGAGAAGGTCAGGTGACATATGGAGAGGATCAGAACCACCGGTGCATGACAGGCGCCTCGGAAGTGGTTCTAATCAGAAAATAAAGTTAAGTGAACCTGTGGGGGAGGTGGGGGGTGGGTACCTTTTCGTAAAAGCAATGATTAGTTTTTGTGTCTGACGTTATCTTTCACTAATTTAACATTCAAACAATCTAACTAGCTAAATGAAACTTGTAGTGGGTATAGGTGAAAAAGCGTACTTTTGCAGTATCCCCCCACCCTCTTAAATTCCCCTATTTTATTTTATGTTAAGGCGACTTTCATCAATGTCTCTGCATTTCAAATAAATTTTATGCACTACAAACAATAGTTTGGAATATAAGTAAATAATTTCTTATATTTTAATTAAACCTTCAAACTAGATGGCAAATGAGATTACAGCAAATTTATTTTAATATCGGAGGCACTGGTCAAAGTCACCGCACAAATTAATAAATATAAAAGATATCGAAATCAGAGTTATATGGGGGGGGGCTGCAATAGTGCCGAAAAAGTAGGAACGGGACACCAGTCCCAAACAAATCACCCCACACATTGTATGACATTCCAATGAGATGAACAAATACTGTATCTTCGTGTACAATATATTATACTTACGCCGGTTTACCGTCCGTCCTCCCCAGTGTGGCAATGTCCACCAACCCAGAACCGTCATCCATTTGGCAGGAACAATCGTTGACCTTGACACAGTCTCTTGCCGCGGCAATATTGAATGTAAAACTTAATACCAAACTCCATGCCAACATCATACAAAGCACGTTCTCTTTCTTGTCCATGGTTAAGGGGTTCTTTTCCTTCAGAAGTGTACTTTATGATTAAGAGTGAAAAGTCTGTATCACGATGTCAAGCGTTTTAATGTGTATATTGCAATTAGGCCTTAATGCATTGTATCTGCGGGATACGAACGTAGATCAAATTCAATGTTCAGGAGACAGTTTTCAAGAGATTATACAAATCCTGAGTCTGGAATCGTAGAATTGTTCTTGTTGCGCTAGTACAATCCTCGGTTATTATTCCCGCTCATGTAGGATTCTTGTCAGAAAATGCAAGGGCCTATACCAGTGCACCTATAGTGCGTTCATTTCTTCACTTGAAGCACCCTGGAAAACGATGTGCTCGCACCGGTAATCACTCAAGTTCCCTTAGTCCGTAGGTTCAATCCAATTTGTCTCCCCTGGTTCTTCTTGCTATTTGCCTTCTCTTGCAGTGTTATGTTTCTCAAAATTAAACTTTTGACAATAAATATGGGTCACCTGACCCATATATACATATACTAGAACACGTTATCAAGGGCATATGAAGTTAAACCCCGTCACACAGGGGTAATAGAAAACTTCTGACTTCTCATTTCCTCATATATCAATGCGTATATTAACTAAATAACAATATTGCATTGCCTATTTACTTGACGTGAGTATTTCTGTATCAATATCTGACTTGTCCGTCCAGTAACCAGTAAAACTAACTTTATTTTGAGTTTTGTTGGTTTGTATCGGTTAAATCGTGCACGAGTTCAACCTATAGAAAAGACGTTTATCAACGGCCTCATTGAATTACTTAAAGAAAATGAAATCAATGCAACTGATCATTTTCTTCTGCATAATATGTTTAAAACGATGAACTGATGACTATTGACTCCAGCGGAAGGAGTTTGCAAAGTGTGAGCCCCGTGTAAGAGGTTATCGACGAGAGGAGGGGAGAGATGGGTACAAAGGTATTGCCTGAACGCTTCCCCTCCCCCACCAGTTATCTCTTCGCGTTCAAGATAACGTGGATGTGTCCTTAAGACAGTCTGCCGTTAAATCGACTGGCGCGGTGGACACATTTCCAATAGATGGGTATCTGAAAACCGAATGGATAATATGTGGAGTTTAGTACTGAAAGCGATAGACAGTGTTTTCTCTAGATCTCTCTTGAGCGTCCGCATATCTGCCCACGCCAGTGTGTGCTTTCTAATGCACATGCTGTATGACGTCATACTGCATGAAACGCCACTTGCTTTCGTCTAAGCAAACAGGGAACGGAAAGTAAGAAAAAGTCTATGTGTATATGAGTGTGAAATTGATCATTAGTGAAATAAATATAAAAGAGCATGCGCTCGTGAATGTACACCTGGGCCTCGTAACTCGAAAGCAGCGCTCATTGCGACCGAGCGCAAGTGTCTCGATTCCGTAACTCGCCCATACTCGCCCCATATAATACACTGTAGCCTAGAGTATGTGGTATCGCAATATGCGATGCTTTCGAGTGAAGGAACCCAGTGCGAGAACAGCTTGGCTGAATGATTATAAGCACCCCAACTCTATATGGAGTGGCTTGAGAAAAATAAAGGATTTTAACTCCCGTAGAACAGTAAGTACATGAACGTTTATTTGCGAAAAAAAAAAATGAAGAAAATTAGTTAACGAAAAAAAGGTAATAACTTTAAACAAGATGTGTGGTATATAAATAAGTGAGTAAATAAATATATTTTGAAGCAGGAAGTATGGGTAATAAATGATATAAATAAATAATGAATAAAAATTAAAAACAGGATGTGTGAGCACAAACCTTTAAATATCTGTTACATGTATCATCTTTGTTACATTTCTCATATTTGAGGACACTTGCTATTAGGCCTTACTTAAGGCAATGACAGACCTTGGACATATACAAAGGGGGTTACATATGCTTTAACCTACCACGCCTTAAATCACAAGCATTTAGTTTTGAAGAAATGGGGCAATTTGTGCCCTTTGGCCCTTCTGTAACACCACAAGGTGTGGCTTTTCGGAAGAAAATTGGGTTGATTTTACCATTTTGTCTTCGAAAAGGGAGTTGATTCTTCGTCACCACCAAACACCACCAAACACCACCACCCCCTCCAACTCTCCCCAACGTCTGTTTGTTCTTAATTTTAGTCATGTGTTTATAGTCCTCACAGTAAATACATTATTTTTACAAATATTCATTCCTATCTAGGTCAGGAGGGCTATTTTGAGTCCAAGTTTTTATAAATTCTGTCCGTCTTACATCCAGTAAACACGAATACAGCACCATCCTGAAACAAACAGAGCATTGTCACATCTCAGACCTTAGTAACACTCAGGAGGTTGAATAATAACAAAAACAAAAACAACAACAATAATAATAATAATAATAATAATAATAATAATAATAATAAGTAGGCCTAAATACAATGTTGTTGGGTGGAATTTTTCACATTATCATAGGATAAGTTCCAAGCTTTCACATATCGGTGTTATCACACAAAACTTGACACAGCGTATCTCCTTGTTTTCTATTCAACATATAGCCTTGTTTAAAATAGTGATTTGTTTGCGGACGAATCATACTATCCCTTTTAGAATGATTTATTTCTTTTTCTGTCTTTTCTTTTATCTTCTGTCAACGTTATTTTCTTAGTTTATATTTCTTTCTTTCTTTCATTTTGGACTTCTATTTATCGTTCTTTATTTGTTTCTTCATTACATAAAATGCATCCTTTACCTTTACCAAAAATGGGAAACCCTTCCAAAAGTTTGCATTAGGGATGAGTTCGGCTCCCGAGGCTTGCCTTCTTACTTTATTGAATATTATGCCAGCTATTACATAAACCAGTAAAAGAACTACGAACCTGAAATATATAAACCCAAATTGTTTAACAAAAAATTATAGTAAATCAATAAAATAGATAAATAGCATGATTTCATTATTGAAAATCTCTAATACAGACGATTCATCCGTTTACGACATCGCTTTTTGCGTTGGAAATGATGTAAACGATACACCGATTATACAATGCGCGCAAGTGAGAGAGAGAGAGAGAGAGAGAGTGGCCGGTGAGAGAGAGAGAGAGAGAGAGAGAGAGAGAGGTGAAGTTGAGTACCTACACAATAATGAGTACGGTACCCCCACTGATCCCAGTGTTACCAGTGTTATGAGACGGGCACGCACTTGCATGGGTAACAGTGAGCGTCTGAAAGTGTTGTTAACATTATAATCTGAAGTTAAGTGTAATCAAAGAATAAAGAAATAAATAGATAAAGGAATGAATAAACGAACAGCTTTCTCGTAATTTATTTCAATCGAAACTCGGAGACGTATCTTTTATCTTAAAAAAAAGAAATTTACATAAATTTGGAAATTGCTTAGAGGGCAGTAGCAGAAGAGAAATTAATTTTTTTTCTCATAAATATCGCATAACAATATGTATATTGGACCCTCGGACTTGTTATTCCCCTATTCTAAATGGAGCCTAGGTTAAGTACAGTGCACTCACATATGGTGACGTGTTTCCAGTGTTTGCCTTATAGGTCGCATCACCAGTGACGCCGGGGTCACATTTCCACGTCACTATGGTGCTCCTGCATATAAGAAAAAAAAGTTAATGTATATATCGTCCTTATATTCTTCCATGTCCCCAGCGTCTTGCAGACCGTGTTCAAAGCACTTTTAGTAACGTGTTTGTTTTAGTTTTAGGTTTCGAAAGTAGACACCTGTTTGCATCACCCCCAGTACAGCTCTTTTCCTGCCACGATAACAATGGCTAGAAAAAGATTACACAGCAAACGAAGAGAATGGTTATACTATGGTGTAGTTAATGTAATTTGTGTACTTTTACCCACAAGCTAGAAATTTGGCATGGTTATAGAAAATGGTATTCTTAGTATTTCTGGATATATAGGGGAGGTGTCTGAAAATTCCAATATGGTTGCCAAATCCAATATGGACACCTGTGAATTTGTTACATGTACATGCGGTGCCTATACTACATGTATGCTCGGTCGAAAATGAGAATGAGACCCAAACTTACTCTTTTAGCCCCGTGGACTCTGAGTACTGTACTTGGACTTGTTGTGTCTTGGGGTCAAAGCTCCACTCTGCTGAATCCTGCCGGCCTATGGGATAGCCATAGTCTCCACCGCTCGACTTCTGGCAGACCTGGATAGAATTTAAGTATATTATTAAATAGTATGATAAAAGCAAAGAAGCATTAGCCAGGCCTCCAACACCCTCTTACTGTTAACGCATCTCTCCCAGCAGCGTGCCTCTGTCGTTAAAGTAGTATTTGAAAATGTCTCGATACTTGGGTTGTTTTTGCCAGCTGGAAAGAGTGGCTGCTCATGACGTCACGCGCTGCCCCTTATGAACTACAACAATACAACCAAACGCTATCACTTGAAAGGCCGTAGTTAGATGGTCAAAACTATAACCAACATGTAAGATCCTGAATATCTTCCAAAAAGGACAACTGTAAACTGTACACTTACTGCGACGTTCTGACAGTAGGCTCCCTGTGAAAACGGGTAACATGGGTTGTACTGGTAATTCCAATAATTATTTGGCTCGTTAGCGCTGAACCTATGAACAAAGAGACAAATGAATACAGAGAGACAAACAGACACTTAGAAGCAATTCTATCCCTTTTCTTTATCCTTTTCAATAGTTGTGTATACGTAATGTTTTTAAGAATGGAGTAATTTTTCTTCGGCCAACAGCTTAATACTGAAATAGTTTTTTATCCCCAATATTTTGTTGACTAGCAGAACATCTTCATCGGGGAATGAGGCTATCTAGATAATGTTTTTATAGACATAATGGTTGATTTTCTTTATAAATACTTGTTACATGTTTTACGAAACGTGAATGGGTCCTTGTGGCTCTGTGCGTATAGAGACTACTAGCACTGTAAAGAGTACTGAAAACGAGGAAAAGTGTAATTTCGACAGGAAGTCAGACTGGATTAGAAGCAGTATAGAAAAATGGAAAATATAGGCCTATAACTGTTAAATTGGCAGCTCTTTTTTTTTTTAAATCTATAGTATGTTTCACGCGATTTCAGCGTAGTGTAAGTCAAATAAATATTGATACACTAGATGACGCACAGGCAACTGCTACTAACGGTTATCAGTGACATTTTCCCAAACACCTCAGATTTTGACTGCTGAAGAAAGAAAGCTCTGACACCTTTCTCTGGTAAAAGGCAATAATGTTGGCCTACTATTACTTAATACCCGTGGTATAACTTACGCTGGCGTTCCGTCCTGTTTACCAAGACCCCGTATGTCAACTCGTCCACTTCCGTCGTCGAACTCACAGGAACAGTCATCGATCTTCTTGCAGTTCTTAGCCTCGGTAGAAATTTGACCATTTACGATCAGACATATAATAAAAACTGAGGCCCAGAGACCCTGTCTTTGATTTCCGAATTCAATTTTCATGGTTGCTGTAAAGGAGAGATTTAAAGTCAGTGTCACGCGGACTTCGCTGATTATTTTCAAGATAGGGCGAGAGTCGCGACTATCTTATTTTGATTAAATGATATGGACGCATTACTTCAACTGGAGTGTCCTTTTTCAGTTATTTATTAGTCAGTAAGTTTACAGACGTACAATACTGTTAATATGGACATCCCTGTCATTGTCAAAAGATAATAAATGTTGAAGCTGGGCTACGATCATTAAGCGGGGTTTATTGACGGTATTTCGACTAACTTCAACCATGGCTATCTTATCCTATCTCATCCAGTTAGATAGCGCATGTGCTCGTCTGAAGCTGAGAGGGGAGATAGCAATGCATTTGGACTAAATCAAAATCTTTTAATAACGAAATGGAACGTCGTCTAGTTTGATAAACCTAATGTCACGCGTAGAACAGTTCATTATCTATGTTATTGTAATAGACTTGTAAAGATTCTTTACAAGTCTATAGCTACTTATATTTGTCTGGTCTTACTAGCCAATATATCGTCTGCTTTCAGTCAGGACAGGACGTTCCATAACAGAAAGAATCACGGAACATCAAACATCTATTAAAAAACGTGATAAAAAAATCTGCCTTCAGCCAACACCAGGAACAGACAGTTCAGGGTATTGTATAACATCAACAACCCTAGAAGACAAAAATCTTGGAAGGAGAGCCACGGGACCTATACGACATAAAGTTCTTGAAGCGATCAGCATCTGCTTAAGCCCCCTTTACACTGGACGGCGTCTTTTCTGCGTCCAGCAGTACGGCCCCATTTGAGAGTTTAAAAATTATAATATTTTACGTGCCGACAACTGGCCGATCATTGAGCATTCATTCTGATACAAAATCAATGCACGTGCCTCCTTATTAAGACCACAGCGATGTCAAATTTCATGGTCGCAGAAAGGACGCAGAAAGGACGCCGTCCAGTGTTAAAGGGATATTACATGGGGCCAAGTTGAATCGGAATGATGGGACTGAGCTACCCAACCTGTACCTACCACTCCTAAGAGAGGGGCAGGCAAGGGGGGGGGGTCTGATCAAATAACACACCAGAGGGGGTGATATATTGTCACACCTATCAAAACCTCATTCCCTGATCAAGTCTGACTGCAAGCAGACGAAATATTGGCAGGTAAGACCAGACAAATATAAGTAGCTATAGACAAACGTAAGTAGCTATATAGACAAAAGAATCTTCACACGTCTATTAATGACGCAACTTTGAATGGCTATTCTTCACTGAAAGCGATGGCTTTATACATTATTCAGTTGCAGTGTATTGCAGTTGGTAATATACAGATATTGACGACATAACAGAGTAAAAATTTAAAGGTTTACTCGACGCGTTTGAAATTGTCCAGTCATATTTTTAGTCTAAATATCATTAAAAGCTACTGATCTTTCCCAATCACTGTTTACAAACGAAGTCGATATTTCTTTCTTAAATGTCAGAAAGACATGAGCGTCTGAATGGATCGTATTTGGTTTAGAACCAAATTATCTGAAAGGGAATGTAGCAAAATTGTTTAAGTGCAGGGCCTGGTCAAGCAATCATTTGGGCGTGGGAGAAAAAATAGACTCGGCGAGGAAATTTCAAACTAAATACCTTTCAAGATATAATTTGCCAAAATGATTTGTATTCGTGCTTTCAAAATTACCCTTTTTCAAAGAAAAACAAAACCCAACAAATACATTTTCCAACAATTTATTACATCCCAAAAAGTCTTTCACGTAAAATCTTTTCATCTATTAATCTTATAAACACCCAGAGTCGGACGTAGGAGGGTAGAAAGATTAAAAAGAAACGCACAGCAATACATTAATACAAACAGAGAAGACATTGCTATCCTGGCTGTGAAGTTGACCAAAAACCGATACCCAAATGGCAGTCCCACTAATTAAGAACTAATATCCAAACGCCACAGTTTAGTTTTAAAGTACACACCATGAAACATTTTTCAAACTCGACTAAGTTTTTCGCTCCATTTCTCGTTTCGATACCCCTCGGACCACACACACAAGGTATGAACCACGTGATCACAACAGTGTCACGTTTAACAGTCACGTGCCTCCCCCTAATTCGTTAACTGGGATAGTTTGTAAAAAAATAATAATAACAATGAAAAAAAACGGGGATATTCCCTTTCCATAATCTGTCGAGCTTTTGCAATTTAAATTTGCTTTGTTACTACAACTTTATCCAAACTGTGCCTATTGCGGATTTACTGTAAGACATTAGTGGGATTTCTCAGTACATTCTTGACAATAAATCACAGGTAACAACAGAAAATTAGCTAACAGGTTAACTATGGTAATCACTGATATAGGTGTATCTATATTCATAAACACAGAATCATGGAATAGGTCATGCGCCCCCTTTGCCAGAGATATATGGAAGAGAATGTTGGTTACTGTCAATATACTTGTAGAGATAGAGAATTTTACAAAATAAACTAAGTTCAAGAATCACACATTTCTACAATCAAGCACTAGAGACTGATATATTTTCAATGTACAGTAAATCCGTATACAAGAAATCAAAAGAATCATCGTCAATTCACAGTTAAAATACCTTGCCTACGTTTACTTACAAATCTGACCATTCTAAAATCCATAATTTCACACTCATTTTACAATTAAATGCATATGATCTGGTAAATCCAACTAATTGGTTAATAATCAAGGTGTACAAAGTGCTAAAATCTGTGGTGAAAAGTGCTTGGAGCAGACGACATGCAGGCATTCTAAAATCCCGCTTCCATTTTCCATAAAGAGCTGAAAAGTGCTCGGCACAACTCTTTGACTTCAGTATTACATACTTCAATCAATAACCCACCATTATTATTCATTTTTTTTATGTGTATAAATCCGTGGAAAGATATTACAATCACAACAGTGACAGTATACAATTGTTTGAGAGTGTATCAAAACACTTAAGGCCATTCAGAATAGCTGATCCGAGTACTTACTGATCCGCTGACTAAATATGGCAGACCCCAATTCAAAAGTGATGCCACTAAATCCATGATGGTCTCCCCGCCTCCACACGCTGTCCCTGCAGGGGACTAGCAATTAAACCTTGGAGCCGAGATTTAATTCGTTTAATGGCGGGTGTGACCATCAGGAATCAGCAGTATCACTTATGAAGTGTGGTCGGCCATATTTAGATCAGCAGATCAGTAAGTACTCGGATCATCTATTCTGAATGACCCTATGACACACTGGTAATACAGACCTAAAAGGTAATCATTAAAAACAACAAGATGCTGCATATGTATAGTAATAAAAAAAAACTGACAAAACCATGCCGCCATTTGTACAATTATACACCCAAACAACCCACCAAGAAACATATATGTATATAAAAACCTCGGTATGCAACGAGGCTCACAACCATTTAAGCAGACAAACCAAATTTCTCAGCTTTATCCACTGTGCAGTTGTTTCCACTTCACAAAACCATCTCCAAATTTAAAAGTTCAGATAATGAATGGTGTAAAAGTAGCTGATAAAATCTTATCTGTTGTAATTATTCTATCATCATACTATCAACATATGCAATGGATTCTAAACAGCTGAATACTCCAGCTCCTTGCTGAACAACACATTTCCCATGAAAAACTATTCCTGTGAACAACCTGTATAACATTCTTCTCAAAAAAAAAAAAAAAAAAAAAAAATGTCATCAGAATGCTTCATGACACCTTTTAAAAATACCACTGTATATAGCATTTTAGTTTTGTAAAGTGATTTGCAACTGCCACAGCTCACAGCTCTTCCACAACCAAAAATTAAAAATATAAACCTTTCAATAATTATATTAAAAGCAGTTCATGCAAGCTACGTGTCACAAGCATATACAATTTGCGTCTAAACAACAAGTAACAGTCTCAGTCAAAGTAGGTATAAAGCAACCTAGACATGAGCAAGCAATGGTCTATCTAAAACACCACAATTTCAAGTGAAAAATATCACCATTTCCGAAGAAAGGACTCCTTAATCACTTCACAGAGATGATACGTATTTCCATATATAAATATATCTTAAGTGAAGACCCTGTTTACAAGTTGCTTGCTGTCATTAACAGTTTGCCAGCCAAAGTTTAAATATCTTGTCGTCAGGCAGCAAACTGTGCAGTGTACAAGTTACGCTTAACCATCAGCCCATTTATTATTATAATCACACTTTACAATTTCTGTGGCGTTAGCTACATATGTGTATCGAGTTCTACTGAAAAAGCTGTACACATGATCGCGAAAAACCTCTATTTACCTGAGTATATATGAATATAATTGTTTGTGTATAAATATTGTCATAATTTCATATAGTCACTGTCTAAATTAATGAATACATGAAACTGAAATCAGACTGGTTTTAAATTAGCCTCAGGAGGTGTTCAGAATGCATCATCAGATCACCAACCAACACCCCTTGTTGTCTTCAAAACATAATATCAACAAAATAAAGTATTTTTTTAAAAATGTTTTTAATTTTCCCACAAGTGCTCATGACTCATTAATGCTGCAGTAACATGAAAAAGGTCCTGATAAAAAAGGTCCAGGTTGAATTGAACCTGTCTCAGGCTGTATTGGCCTTAGTTTACGAAAATGTAATAATGTTAGGAAGATCATCTACAACTCAAGGAACGGCTTAGCTGTGTTGCAGCAGATTAAAAAAAACACTTGGGTGAAAACTATGGAATGTGCCTTATCTGGTTTAATTGACTATTGATGCATTCTGTGACCCTTTCTGGTCTAAAATATACCTGCTCTGATAGCAGCTGAATCATCACAACACGAAGGAAAATAATAAATCATTCAGTATAGAAGTAACTATTCTAAAATACACCATAGATGCATTGATAGATGCTAAAAGATAATTATTGTGAGCATAAAAATATAGTAAGCGTCCTCTCTTTGTTCCCTGGATTGGGGGTCAACTTAAAAAATGTCATATCATAATGTATAATCAGTATTATTAAACATTTTAGAGTCACCATTTAAAATAATTACAAAAATGGGGGTCCAGATCAAATTTCTGCTAAGACATTATTCTATACATACTCACAGTAGTAATGTGCACACTGATTTAATTTCCATTACAGAGAAATAGAACTACTTCTACATTTAACTTGGTGGCCATTTTTACAGGGGATACTGGGAGAAGGTGTGATGAACTTGCTGGTTTTTAAATCAAAATCATCAACTCCACCCAACAACTTGGTTAAAATATTTTTTATTTAGTTATTATCTAGGCTGTCAGGGAAACCAAATAAAAAATACCATAACAAGCCATTTTATCTTTGAAACAACTCTTCATTGAAGTTTCAGAAATTCTAAAACTACACCTCAGTAAAAAAGCCATAAAAACAGCCACCAAACTAGGGCCTTTTATTACATCTGGCACTTAAATTACTTGGCTTATCATCAGGTTTGGAAATTCTCTCTCTTGCTGCTAAGCAGTAAGTTGTCGGTCTAAGTGCAGGCACCATGGCCTGACACCCCATTTTTTTTTCAGACAGCAGCCATTATCTTACCACTGCCCCCAGATTCTAATAAAATGACAGTATTTCCAGCAGCAGTGAATGAAGTGATCAGGAAAAAATATGAACACGTTTTCTTTCATGAAAAGATACAAATACATGAATAAGCTTTGACACTTCTGGAAGAGTACAAAAATTAAATACATCTCTTTGATGTAACAAATAAACTAAACTATCTCTATGTGTGACCTGGTTTAATCTGGTAAAAAGAGGAGGAACTATTTGTATTAATATATCTTTCCATTCACTGCTGCAAGGAGAAACTCCAAATTATTCACTTCAAGGTCACCAAAGTCTTTCGCCTCTTCTTTTCTGATGTAGTGTTCTTGAAGTTGAATCATATTTTTCTAAGGTGTCTCGCTCTGGATTATCGCACAAACAACAACAACAACGAACTGGCTAGCAGAAAAATGTTGCCACCGATATGGCTGGCCATGCTCACCTCTGCAAAGAGAAACAAAAAACCAAAATATTACAAAGGTAATCCACACATTGATACAGGCACCGTCACACCTGGCCTAAAGCATTAACATACGAGAAAAAATTACCTATGTGCAGACAAACCTACTGGCTGTGTAAGAGACCATTCCCACAGATATTTGATCAGTTTCAGCATGTCCCTGGAGAGTCTCACTGAATTGCTATCAACTTAAACAGTTTAAATATCTGTTACGCCAAGTAAAGCTGTAAGGGGGTAATTATCTTTACCCCACAGCTGATTCAGTAGGCGTGACAGACAATTAAGCCATTAAGATGATAGCAATTTAGTGAGACTCCCCAGTGAGTTAGATCGATCCAGATGGATCAATCTAAGCATGGGAACCCAGTCTTGCGACTTTGCACACGTGGGGAAACAGTGGTGTATGTCTGCACATAAGGAGGGAGATAATATACTGAGCATGTCCAAAAGCAATTTTTATATGCTGCTTCTGTCTTCATTTTAATGACCTGAAAACAGGGTGATTTTATACCCTGAAAGTTGTGCATATAATCTATGTCACAGATGATACTCGTACATTCCTGTTTACTCTATATGTGACAGAGCCACAAGAAAACCATCACCTCATGAGCTATTTATAAAACATGACAGAGTTTTCCTTCATTTTTAATTTTGAATGAAATATAGACATCCAAATGTAACAATTTGTCATGGAGAAGACTTGAAGGTATCACCCACATGGACTGCATACAAATAGTTAGCAAAATAATAAGAATAAAAGACCACCGAAATCAGACATGATTTTGAGTTGTAAAAAAAAAATAACAACTTGGCAGACATGCTGACACTGTTGGTCCGATCGGTCATGACCGGCAAAATTTGTCTTGACCGGTAAAAAATTGGACTTGGTCGGTCCAAAGGACCTACAAGAGTTTTAAGAGCCGCAATTTTGAATTTACAGTCATCATTCAACATACCTCACTAATAAAATTATATAAGACCCAAAGCGTTTTTCCCTCCCATATCAAATCTATCATATTCACAAACAAAATAAACCACCCTAATAATACTGGTAGTATCTTTCTCAAATGGATAGGTTGATTTTCGGTCCGACACATTTTTCATTACTGCCTGTCCAAATGTCCAACCATTCCGAATAGTTTTCAGCATGTCTGACTTGGTGGACTTAAAAATGGGAGGCTGGGGTCTATCAAGAAAAAAAAATCAAATACAAAAAATCATGTCTGAGAAATATTCAGTTAAAAAAAAAGCTGTATCATCCATGGCAAAGGCAAGGTCACATGCTGACAAGGAATAGCCTTTAAATTGCTATGTCAGCCAAAAAAGCATTGAAAGGGCATGTATCTTTTCTATTACATCTACTGCATGTATGTAAGTTTTGCTCTTCATATGAATGAATGTAAAAACAAAACAAAACAAAACAAAGAAAAAATAAATAATAATAATAACCATTATAAAGCACTACAGCTGGCGTTGCTTAGAAGTTGACAAAGTGGGGTTGTACTAAGATGTTTCAAATCTACAAATGCTGCACTATAAGACTAGGTTCCCATGCCTAGATCGATCCATCTGGATCAACTTAACTCCCTGGAGGTTCACGCTAAATTGCTATCAGCTTAAGAGGCTTAAATGTCTGTTATGCCTACCGAATCTGCTGGGGGGTAGGGGGGTAATTAACTGGGCCTCACCGATAGCAGATAACAATTTAGTGAGACTCCCCGTGGAAATAGATCAATCCAAATATCTGCAGGATGGTCCGTAAGTTTTGAAAGCTGCCCACTGTTCCCATCGGAACAGAATGCTGGGTCAGGCCTCTAAATATAATCAATCCACATAGAGGACTGTGAACTTAGGTGGTAAAAAGCCAGCAACAGAACAGAAGATGGGAAAGCTAATAAAGTTTGTGGCCATTACATCTTGTACTTGGCATCTATTGTTAATTTAGAACCAGTGGAAGAAAAAAAGATTAATTATAGGTATACTATCCGTGTTTGAAATGCTCTAGAATCATTCATGTTCACTATGTCTACATGTATGCTGCAAAGCTAATTATCTGCCCTAATTCAGACATTTTAAAAATGATACAACCCCTGCTGATATTTCCTTCTCAAATACACCAGGGAGACAAAACAGTCGAAACAACTGACCAGCCTTTTAGAACTAAATCATTTCATTAGAAATGTTATAAAACATCACATCCAAATGCAGGGAGGAGTAAAACAATACTTTTTGAGTTGGAAAAAGTCATATTTTTCATGGTTTGATCTGACCTGGCAGGAAAATTCCAGATAGAATACCTTTAATAAAAAAAACACATCTCAAGGATTCAGCAGCAGCAAAAAGCAGAGAGGCACACCTAACACATTCTGGTTGTTACAATAATGCGTTTCTCAATGGCACTAACCTTCCCTCTGCGTGGTCATTGATAAAGGACTTACGAAATCACTGATAGTATCTGAGGGGGAAATTGACGTGACTAAAGAAAAGAAAGATTTTAATGTTTAAAAGAGAAAGTGTTGCGTGATGGAGGATGCAGTTTAAATCTGGTACAAGCTTTCCTTTAGTATGGGATGTGGAATCAAACACACTGAGGTAATCTAAACATGATGAATCTAAAGAGGTAAAGAGGTAAATTGAGACCTAAAGTCATATTCTAAGACTTTTGCCATTCTTAAGCACTAGGTATAAAATATTCATACATTTTCAGGCAAAAGATCACAACTTCTTTAAGAATGAATAAAAAAAATAAGTGTCCCTTGGATAAAGTGATCACCTTTAACCAAAATGAATCATTTCCATTTCTGGCAGTGTAGCTTTTTTGAGAGAGAGAGAGAGAGAGAGAGTGAGAGAGAGAGAACTTCATTGGGGAGGAATAATGAGACCTGTGGCAAACACAAAAGACTGAAGTGGCCTCAAAACAATATTTAGGGTTTTGAAGGCCAGTAAGTCAATAAAATGATCTAAGTACAAGAATGAACATGGACGGGGGATATGTTTAGTCAACAATTTCAAGTGTTCTAGTAATGGAATAATTACTGTCACTTAGAAATTAAATTTATTGACCCATTTCAAGAATGATAATATTTTGTGAAACTGACAGTACAATAAAATTTGTTTTACAAAGAAATGGATTAGGAAATCAAAATATTGTAACATATCAAAGAAAAAGGGGGGGGGGAAGGACTGGTTTTACATGAAATGAGGCCTACTTCCATTCCATTCAAACCAATCCACTTCAATTAAACATTCACCCTGTGTCTGTATTAATAAAAAGTGAGTACTCTGCACTCTACTCACCCCCAGCAAATGTCACCGCCACAGCCTTTTGACTGTGTCCATGAGAGTTCATGGCATACAAAGTGTATTCAACTGCATCATCCTTGGAAACAGAACTGATGGTTAGGGTGATTTTCTTGCCCACATTTTTGCCCGTCAAATCCTAAAAGGAATAGTAATAATAATAATAATAACAAATATATCACATGCCCAATGGCGCAAAGATACGGCAAGCAATCTATTATTTGCATATATGTGACCCTCAAAATAAAATTGTGCACAAAATTAATTTTTTAACATAAATGTTATTACTTGGTTTTAAATAGCCTCACTTTATGCTTAAGTTGTTATAAAATACATAATGAATAAATTTACTAACTAACTACACCCAGCATATGAATACTAACAATAATTATTTCTCTTACAAGCCATTCAACATTTTGATTCACAGGCACGTATTAATTTCAAAAGTGTAATTTCTGAATTGTTAAATATTTAAATAGCTGTATCTTGAAGTTTTGTATCTTATTAATTTAAATATGATATTATCACTAACATGCCCACAGGTGCCATAAATTATATCTTTATAGAAACGTTTTTTTTTTTTGGTTGATGTCCCAGAATATATGTATGACTAACCTCCATTGTTGACACAATTCGGCTATCTTGAGGTGAAGTAGCAGAACCATTGATACGGTGGGTTGCGTTTGATCCAGGATACTCCCACCAAAAGTTGGATGCCTCTGGCATGGCGTACACGGTACAGATCAGATAGACAGCGTCCCCCTTGTAGGCGACACGGTTATTCTCACATTGGATAATTGGTTTATCTGAAATAATGTTATCATTATGACAATAATTTTAGCCAGATCTCAGGACAACAAAATAATAATTTGTTACTTCCCTTAACACATTTGTTACTTTGTAACACAGCTTCCCCTCGATTTGTAAAGGTAAGCCCTATCTAGATTTTGACCTACTTTTGTCATCCTAGCCCTAACCTGTACGGATCTAATAAAGGGCTGACTCTCTGTAACAGAAATGACTCTCTGTAAAACTTTACAGCACTCGGAAAATAGGACAAGCAATAAAAACTGTCCTAGATGAAAAAATACACACTTAGAAGTGTTATGCGATAGTTGCAACATACACTTTATTTGGTTCTAGGGCTGTTTTTCAGTAAAACGGAGTACTTTCTCTCAGTACATATGGTGTATAATACACTGCCACCCTCATGTGATTTACAGAGATGAGTTTGGCATTAAGTGAAAAATCGAATAATATGGTGTTGGGTTTAGATGGCAGCCTAGGCTAATGATACTTCTGACTCCCAAAAGGTTGTAAATCTACCTAAAAGTCAGAAAAATCTCATCCTAAGTAACACTTGGAAGGACAGTGAATTATCTCATGTATAGAGAGCATCATCCTCTCTCTCTCTCTCTCTCTCTCTCTCTCTCTCTCTCACACACATGCACGCATACACACACACACACACACAGAGAGAGAGAGAGAAAAAAAAAGAGAAAGAGATGAACCGACTGTGGACCAATCACAACTAATGGTGAACAATCCCAGCAGAGTCTACTTACAACCAATGGTGAGGGTCACTTCTACAGAACCTTGATCTCTTGGGTTGGTAGCATCTGGAGTCTTCCAGGTACATTTTATCTTCTTGTTGGCATCCTGCACACCCAGTGCAAACTTGTCGTTCTGGATTGCGGCGTCAGTAATGGGATCCAGGGTAACGGAATTGAAATCTGTTTGGACAGAGTCCCCAATACTGACCCTGAGTTTTTGAGAGGGGAAAAACAAATGATTAAAGGTTATAAGCAAAAAGTCTTCCATCATACTATTAAATCTTAAGTCTTTTAACCTTAAACTTTTTAAAACTAGCAATAAAATGTAAATATCGCTTTTTCAAATAGTCATTCAAGGTTGGTGAAACTTAACTTTTTTTTAAATCTAGAGGAATCTTTTGATATTCTAAACCTAATGAAATTAGTTTTGAGAAATTTCATTCGCTTTAATAAGTTATAAGTGATAAATCACCCCAATGTGTTTGTCACTTACTCAAGTACTGGAGCCGGCTGACCGCCTAAAGCTGCACATCCCACAACAGACTCCACACGATCCTCAAACATGTAGTTTTGGCCCCCTGAAATCTTGTTGCTCATATTGCCATGGTAAAGGAATACGTCTGTCGGAGAAGCTGGGAAGACAGAGAACACAAATATATTTTCTTTTTGAACAATTAACGTGTAGGTATTCAGGGTTCAATGAAGGGGAGGAAGCAGAGAAGGGAGATGGGGCTGGGGGTTGACCCTGCACTGATTGTGACCTATTTCAAGTGTAAAGATATATACGCCAGAGCCCTGCAGAACTAAATTACATATTTTTATCTGGCATCAATTTAGCTTTTAAAAAACTGTTTTTACAAGTTAAGGTTATAAACAAAAAATCTGTCAACATAGGGTTGTCAATCAAAGTCTAGAAAAAAATAGACTAATATTACTCTTACCTATGACAGTGACTACAGAGGAGAGAGTCTGCTGCACTGTACCACTGATGGTGAATGCACACTCATAGTTGCCTGCATCACCTATTTCAATTCCTGGTAAAAATAAAGAAAAAACCATGGCACAATTTCATGAAATATTTTTAACAAAAATGGCACAATTTAATGGCATGTTTTAAAAAACATGGCATAATATAATGGATATTTGAATTGAAAAANACCCCCAGCAAATGTCACCGCCACAGCCTTTTGACTGTGTCCATGAGAGTTCATGGCATACAAGGTGTATTCAACTGCATCATCCTTGGAAACAGAACTGATGGTTAGGGTGATTTTCTTGCCCACATTTTTGCCCGTCAAATCCTAAAAGGAATAGTAATAATAATAATAATAATAATAACAAATATATCACATGCCCAATGGCGCAAAGATACGGCAAGCAATCTATTATTTGCATATATATGACCCTCAAAAAAAAATTGTTCACAAAATTAATTTTTTAACATAAATGTTATTACTTGGTTTTAAATAGCCTCACTTTATGCTTAAGTTGTTATAAAATACATAATGAATAAATTAACTAACTAACTACACCCAGCATATGAATACTAACAATAATTCTTTCTCTTACAAGCCATTCAACATTTTGAGTCACAGGCACGTATTAATTTCAAAAGTGTAATTTCTGAATTGTTAAATATTCAAATAGCTGTATCTTGAAGTTTTGTATCTTATTAATTTAAATATGATATTATCACTAACATGCCCACAGGTGCCATAAATTATATCTTTATAGAAAAGTTTTTTTTTTTGGTTGATGTCCCAGAATATATGTATGACTAACCTCCATTGTTGACACAATTCGGCTATCTTGAGGTGAAGTAGCAGAACCATTGATACGGTGGGTTGCGTTTGATCCAGGATACTCCCACCAAAAGTTGGATGCCTCTGGCATGGCGTACACGGTACATATCAGGTAGACAGCGTCCCCCTTGTAGGCGACACGGTTATTCTCACATTGGATAATTGGTTTATCTGAAATAATGTTATCATTATGACAATAATTTTAGCCAGATCTCAGGACAACAAAATAATAATTTGTTACTTCCCTTAACACATTTGTTACTTTGTAACACAGCTTCCCCTCGATTTGTAAAGGTGAGCCCTATCTAGATTTTGACCTACTTTTGTCATCCTAGCCCTAACCTGTACGGATCTAATAAAGGGCTGACTCTCTGTAACAGAAATGACTCTCTGTAAAACTTTACAGCACTCGGAAAATAAGACGAGCAATAAAAACTGTCCTAGATGAAAAAATACACACTTAGAAGTGTTATGCGATAGTTGCAACATACACTTTATTTGGTTCTAGGGCTGTTTTTCAGTAAAACGGAGTACTTTCTCTCAGTACATATGGTGTATAATACACTGCCACCCTCATGTGATTTACAGAGATGAGTTTGGCATTAAGTGAAAAATCGAATAATATGGTGTTGGGTTTAGATGGCAGCCTAGGCTTATGATACTTTTGACTCCCAAAAGGTTGGAAATCTACCTAAAAGTCAGAAAAATCTCATCCCAAGTAACACTTGGAAGGACAGTGAATTATCTCATGTATAGAGAGCATCATCATCTGTGAGAGAGAGAGAGAGAGAGAGAGAGAGACAGAGAGAGACGAACCAACAGTGGACCAATCACAACTAATGGTGAACAATCCTAGCAGAGTCTACTTACAACCAATGGTGAGGGTCACTTCTACAGAACCTTGGTCTCTTGGGTTGGTAGCATCTGGGGTCTTCCAGGTACATTTTATCTTCTTGTTGGCATCCTGCACACCCAGTGCAAACTTGTCGTTCTGGATTGCGGCGTCAGTAGTGGGATCCAGGGTAACCGAATTGAAATCTGTTTGGACAGAGTCCCCAATACTGACCCTGAGTTTTTGAGAGGGGAAAAACAAATAATTAAAGGTTATAAGCAAAACATATTCAATCATACTAGTAAATCTTAGTCTTTTAACCTTAAACTTGTTAAAACTAGCAATAAAATGTAAATATCGCTTTTTCAAATAGTCATTCAAGGTTGGTGAAACTTAACTTTTTTTAAATCTAGAGGAATCTTTTGATATTCTAAACCTAATGAAATTAGTTTTGAGGAATTTCTTTCTCTTTAATAAGTTATAAGTGATAAATCACCCCAATGTGTTTGTCACTTACTCAAGCACTGGAGCCGGCTGACCGCCTAAAGCTGCACATCCCACAACCGACTCGACACGATCCTCAAACATGTAGTTTGGGCCCCCTGAAATCTTGTTGCTCATATTGCCATGGTAAAGGAATACGTCTGTCGGAGCAGCTGGTAAGACAGAGAACACAAATACATTTTCTTTTTGAACAATTAAGGTGTAGGTATTCAGGGTTCAATGAAGGGGAGGAAGCAGAGAGGGGAGATGGGGCTGGAGGTTGACCCTCCACTCATTGTGACCTATTTCAAGCGTAAAGATATATACGCCAGAGCCCTGAAGAACTAAATTACATATTTTTACCTGGCATCAATTTAGCTTTTAAAAAACTGTTTTTACAAGTTAAGGTTATAAACAAAAAATCTGTCAACATCGGGTTGTCAATCAAAGTCTAGAAAAAAATAGACTAATATTACTCTTACCTATGACAGTGACTACAGAGGAGAGAGTCTGCTGAACTGTACCACTGATGGTGAATGCACACTCATAGTTACCTGCATCACCTATTTCAATTCCTGGTAAAAATAAAGAAAAAACCATGGCACAATTCAATGAAATATTTTTAACAAAAATGGCACAATTTAATGGCATGTTTTAAAAAACATGGCATAATATAATGGATATTTATGCATACAACATCCACAGTTGGACACTCATTGTTGAAAATCCTTAGGTCTTATAAACCAAAACACAAACTTTTACCATCACAAGTGGAATTTACTAGTCTTTATTGCCAGAGTAACTCAAAAACTACAAACTTAAGAAAAAAAAATGGGTTTATGATTTTTTAAAAAATTGCCAGCAATTTTTTTTTTATGATTTGTTCCTGTTTAGTTACATCACGATTAGATTACTGCAACTCCATTTTATACGGTTGTCCAAAGAAACAAATTGCTAGACTGCAGCGCATTCAAAATATTTCGGCCAGATTATTAACTAGGACATACACAAGTATACACATCTCCCCAGTTTTAATAAGTTTACACTGGCTACCTCTACAAGCCAGAATTTTATTCAAATTTTTAGTTTTTACTCACGATGCTTTTTATGGATTGGCACCAATCTACATCAATGAATTAGTCAGTCACTATGTACCAATGCGAAATCTGCTGTCTGTAGACCAATTGCTACTCAACCCAGTAAAAATGCAATTAAAAACCTACAGCAATATATCTTTTAAAGCTGCAGGTCTAAAGGAATGGAATCTATTACCGCTGGAAATCCGAGCAATTCAGTCTACCAAACATTTTAAAAAAGAACTCAAAACATACCTTTTTAGGAAATATTTTGATTAACTCTTAATTGGTTTTATAAATCTTGTATTAATTGCATTTAATTGTATGGAATAATGGTTGTTTTACCTAGATTTTATTTATGATATTTTATGTAGTATTATTTATGATATTTTATGTAAAGTCTACTGAACATTTTAAATGGATTTTAGACCTAAAATAAATTTATTATTATTAATTTATTATTATTCACAATTAAAAAAATTTGTGTAAAATTCCAGTAAAATAAGTAATTTTGCAAAATAAAGATTTTACGCTCAATGGAAGCCTTCATTCCATTTCATACACTACTTTAAAACTAACAAAAAACATAAACACTCACCAGTAATTTGTAATGTATACACAGGAGGAGACAAATCAAGACTAAAGCGACCAACAAAGTCCTGGTTAACATTAACGGATGATGGTGCTGCAATAGCGTTTCCATCCTTTAGCCACTGCATGTTGAATCCAATCCCCCAGGTGCCATCGAAAGTACACTTCAGTTGAACATTCTCTCCTGGGGATGTCGTTACAGATGGGATATCAATTGCGATGGTATTTCCATTTGCTGAAATATAAAAATATATACAAGTTTACATAATGGAAAATTAGAGCATTGCATGGTTTGATCACCAACGTGTTGTATAAAATATATTTAATAGCTATACAAGATAAAATTGTTCCATCATTACAATTAATTTCCATAAAAGATCAGTTCATAACGATTTCCCAGGGTGTAGACAACCCAAGCTGTGGTGCACATGCCACTAGCTATTCGAATAACAACCTATAACCAGAAAATCTATTCGCAAAAAGCCACGCCCTTTCTCTTAGTTATAATAAAAACCTAGCAAGAAAAATTGCAGCAGGGCCTGGATTTCAGCCTCACCTTTGACAAAATTAACATCAACAATGTTATCAAATTTTGAACCATCAACAACCCCTAAAATAGCAGCTCCTAAGACCACAACAACCACTGAATAATTCAAAAACATCCTTCCTGTAGACTCACAAAAAAAAGACACCAGTTCAAACAGCTGTCTGCTCTTCACTCTTCCAGACCAGCCCTTTCGCAGAGGACGCGAGAAAAATTTGCCAAACTAGCTCAGCCTCGACTGGCATAAATCATTTCATACCATTCATTGCCCCATCTTAGTTGGAATTCCATGCCAGTAATTTCAGGCCGATTTGCGATTTGGGGGCCCTTAATATCTGGAAATGTTAGCAATGTGAATTCTGCCATTTTGCAGGCTCAAAAGTCCATCAATCAGTCCCTGACTATTGACCTGGTGGGCATGGAACTTCTATTTAAGGACACGAAGATCATGTACACTGCTGTTTGTCTCAAGATATTCTTTTTTTTGTTTGTTTGTTTCTAATATTCATGTGTTAAGTCTCCTAAACATTTCATGGATGAAAGACTAAATGGACATTTCAATATCCATATCACTACTGGTATTATTACTAAGTAATAAAATTAATTAAAATTATAAAATTATCATTTTGAAGCTTTGAATTTATTGTATATTTTACAGTGTTATCTGGCATCGACTCCTATTGGTAATTTCAAGATCATTCTGAACTATTAGTTTTATGTTAATATTATATACAATGGTCCTCAATACAATTAGAAATAATACTTGGGTTATTCTTGCTGTTTCAAAGACAAATATATATATATATATATATATATATATATATATATATATCCAGGAACTTTGTTAACAACAATCATTTACTAATACAGGCCATAATAATGTAATCATTACAAAGCAGAGGATACTTTTCTCATTGGATTTATATCTTATTGATAACACGTTAAAATGCTTTGTAAAATGACCCATCCTTCTCATACAAATCTCATCAATTTTCCAGGATTCCTATGGGACCTGGTCTATGATCAATATGCTGTACAGCCTTGCAGTCCAACAGCAATGGGACAATATCATCCCAACTAACAGCAGAAGCATGGATCCTCATATCAAGCAAACTTTTTCACATATAAAAAAAAAAGGATGTACATGGAATATTTGTATAAAAAAGCTGCTGTAGGGTTCTATAATAGGGGCGTTGATAGGCCTTTGGCATCTATCCTATGGCGAGGTTTAGCTAAGAAGCTGACCGACTTATATGGGTGGTGCCAAGTTGATTCAACCCAACCAGACTGGAGAAGCACCCAGGATTTGGATTATATGACACCCATGGTACATCAACACAGCAAATAAATTAAGCACATCTTCAAAGTAATTGGGGTTTTCTCTACAAAGCGTCATGACAAGATCTCTAGGGAGGTGATGATACAATTTGCATGAGTTCAAGCATGAAAATACATAGAGACCATCTGTTTAGACCTGCTTTGACCAAGATGACAACAGGCAGAAAATCAATGATAGATGAGAAAGACCTTAATATATTGCCTTTACACTACTATGGTAGATGTGAACTGTTCCATTGCTACTATTGTGGTAGATGTGAACTGTTCAATTGCTACTATTGTGGTAGATGTGAACTGTTCAAGTGGCATTATTGTGGTAGATGTGAACTGTTCAATTGCTACTATTGTGGTAGATGTGAACTGTTCAATTGCTACTATTGTGGTAGATGTGAACTGTTCAAGTGGCATTATTGTGGTAGATGTGAACTGTTCAATTGCTACTATTGTGGTAGATGTGAACTGTTCAAGTGATACTATTGTGGTAGATGTGAACTGTTCAAATGACACTACTGCAGTACATGCAAACTGTTCAAGTCTCATCGTTTATAAGTTTGTAGGAGCCAATTCTGATACTCAACAAAATATCATAACTAAACTACTAATGAATGAAAGGAATTTTACAAGTTTTAAAGTCATAATAACTCTTCGTTTTGGCCAAAAATACGATTTTCCTGGAAAAAACGGCAATTTTCCCGTACTTACCAATGGTCAACGACCCCATTCCTGCATTCAAAGTTAATCCAGGGTTTTTTTCCTAAACGCACGGTTTTTTGTTAAAATCTCTTAAGAGATTTTAACTGACGGAGCCCTCTCGTATCGAGCGATAGTCTCTGGTGACCTACTTAAAACCGCGGGAAAAGCAGACAACAACACTATACAACAATATTATAAGATTCATAAGATATGTTCGTCTTTTTGCTCAAAATGCATTTATATCTACAATGTGTGCAATTCTGAGCTTTTCGTTATCCGACGCACTGTACAAAAACTCGCAACTTACGTCTGAGGGTTTCCCGCCATGTTATTTTGGTCTCGAATGGACGTGAGAATCCGCGTGACACCTAAACGTCATTGGCAACGGATGCACTTGTCGACCGCGAAAAAAGGGATCGAAAGCCCAAGTGACAAGCACAGATTTTAGTTTTACTACAATAACAGTCGTTTTAGTGGGAAAATGCAATAGAATATATTTCCAGGCGTTGTTTACAATGTATTTCTTGCGGAATTTTGAATCTCAAAGGAAGAGTTATTATTGCTTTAAGTGAAATTTTCAGTTACTGTTTTGTCAAACTTACAAATTGGACATTCATTTTGTAGCAAATGCAAATGACAAAGGCCTATTAACACCCCTTTTATAGAACCCTACAGCAGCTGCTTTATCAGAATATCTCCAAAACATGCACTGCAAAACTGAATCAAAAATTCAAAATATAAGCCAATATACTTCACAATCCCAGCAGCCATGATTTCTTCAAATTGTTACTTAATTCAAAATCCATTCCTTGAGTACAAACACCCAAACAATATAGCTCTCACAACTTGGAACCCCAAACAAACATATAAAGCACACAGCAAACGCTGTTCCATGGTACCCATTGTGGATATTACTCATTGAAGTAAATTTGTCATTTGCCTCTAGTGTAAACAAGATAAAGCCAATATGATCATGACCACCACACATGCTAGCCTTCAGACAAGGACAATGGTCAGTGTATTAGGACAGTGGGCAAGGTCCAAATTTGTGCTGGTCAATCTTAGGAAGCATGGTCCATGTTAAGTTAGGCCCGTAGCTTTGGGGGGGGGGGGGGGGGGGGGAGGGCCCCCCTGGGTAAAAATTTTTTTGGGGACCACTTTTTTTCTGTGTAAAAAGAAAAAAAAAAAAAATTTTTAAA